GAGTCACTAGGAGAAAATCCATTTCCTTAACTTTTCCAACTTCTAGAGTTTCATTCTTTACTTGACTCATGGCCCTTCCTCCATCTTCAAAGCCAACAGTGTAGCATCTTCTCTTCTCTTTGAACTCCTGCCTCCTTCAAATAGGGATGTTTGTGATTTACATTGGGACCACCTAAATAAGCCAGTAAAATCCTTCCATCTTAAGATCCTTAATCACACCTTCTTCAAATTCCCTTTAGCCATATAATATAATATTCACAGAGTCTGGGGATTAGGATGTGGACATATTTGGGGTTCATTAGCATAGTGCCTAAGTCATTTGACTACTAGCTAGGAGGCTGGTGGTTCAAACCCACCAGTGTCTCCTTGGAAGGAAGAATGGGAAATCTACTTCTGTAGAGATACCACCTTGGAAACCAAAGTAGGGGTTGCTATGAGTCTCAATTGACTCGATGGCAGTGAGTTTGATTTTTTTGGTTGTTGTTTGTTTATTCAGCCTACCACAGAATGAGGAAGATGAAGCCAAGAAGAAATTCTGAGCAAATAGTACATTTATACTTAGGGCCACTTAGAGAGGGATCCTGTGTAGCTTTGGGCCTCCTGCTTGGTCTGGAAGCTAGGAAGTTGTAGGATCGAGTGGGCACATCCTCTTGGTCCTCCAGATTGCCTGTCCTGATCAGCCTGAGGAGGTTCTTCTAAAGCTTAGAATCCAGGGCAAGGTTCAAGGTATAGTACATCTCAGTTCTCCTGCTGATCTAGCAATCCCTGTCTGTTTCTTTTCTCCTGCTATATCTACAAGAAGTTTCCTTTGGAGGAAAGCATGTTAGCAAATTGTCTTAATCTATTAAAAGTTCTTTCCATCCCTGCCTTTAACTTGTCATGAAAGAGCCCTATTCCACACCCACTCACTGTTTTTAACTATCCGGTTTTCCTTTCCTTTGACTCTCTAATTCCATCCTTCCACCACCTCTTCAGTGTTCTTAAAATAATCAAGATGTCACCTGTTTGTTGTGTTTTTAAAAATATGTTATCTAGTTAACAAGTTATTCCTTAATCATTTCATTGTTAATTTATTTCTTTTCTAATATTTCTATTTTAGTTTCCAGTTTTACTCTACCATTTGAAACTTGGAGATTTTCTCTTATAATCAAACTTAAAATTACTTGTTCTACTCATATACTCTGCATTTAAATTTTTGCTGTTTGTCATTGCATACACATGACTTTTACTTAACAGAATACTTTAAAAAACTATTTTTCTCCCCTTCTAAGTTTATATCTATCTATCTATCTTCTATAAAAATTCTCATTTATGTTTTTACTTATTCTTAGGAAGGTATGGAAATTTTAGAGGGATCATCTATGTTTAAGACTGTGATATGTTTTTGGGAACATTATTGGGTTTCCAAGGAGCTCTAGGAATTATTTACCAAGTTTTATTATACAGTTTTGTAGAATATTTTTTCTTAAAGAAATATTACACATTGCAAAGGATCTAATGTAAAGAAAATGTGATGATTTAAACTTAAACTAAGATGTTATAATTTCAGTGATTTTTTTCCTATGATTAACTCTTAATGTTATAACATTATCACAGTGTGTACTTTGTGAGGATAAATGTGTCTGTCTTGTCTATCACTGTCTCCCCAACACTTACAAGTGGGTGCTTTTTAACAATTGAATAAATGACTGAAAATTATTGAATGATATAATTTTAGAATGACTTTAAAAAAATATATAAAGATGATCAATAAAAACCAGGTACCTAAATTAGAACATTAAAAATACAGATTTTTAAATATTCAATCAGATTTTCATTCCCTCCACGCCTATTCTGGTATAAGAAAGAATTTGTACCTTTATGAGTGCTAATTGAACTTATTTAAGACAATGACAGTCTGTTTACATAGTTTATGAATTGATAAAGGCAGAGATATTTACATATTATATCAATATTATATACAGATAATTATATATTGTAGAATTATATTGATATTAATGCTACATTTTCCATTTTAACTATAAATATTAGATAATATTAGATAATTTTAACACATTGTTAGGTAATGAGAAATTGTATCTCTGATAAGAAAATAAACACAGGAAAACAAGGGATATGCTCATCAACATTATTTAGGAACGAGGAAAAACCAATCACTAATTTTATATGGAAAGGAAAGAGACCTTGGACAAGCAAAGCACTTCTGAGGAAGAAAAACAGAATAGATTCCCTGATCTCAAAACCTACTATACAGCCACAGTAGTCAAAACAGCTTGGTGTTAATACAATGATAGACATATAGATAAGTGGAATAGAATTGAGAATCCAGAAATAGATCCTATGGAGAGCTGATCTTTGAGAAAAGACCATTCATTAAATGGAGTGGTGCTTTAACAAATGGTGCTGGGAAAACTGGATATCCATTTGTAGAACATGAAACAAGTCACCGCACACAAAAACGAAATCAAGATGATTCGAAGACCTAAATGTGAAACCCAAAACTATAAAGTTCATCCAATAAAATAGGGGAAAACTCACCCAAAAAACTCACTTCCATTGATTGATTCTGACTCATAGAGACTCCCATTGAGTTTCCAAGGCTCTAAATCTTTATGGAAGCAGATTGCCTCATCTTTCTTCCATGGAGCAGGCTTGTGGATTCAAACTGCTGACATTTTGGTAAGCAGCCAAATGCCTTAATCACTACACAATCTGAGATCCTTAGGGGCAAACTTAGAGGCCTTAATTTATGCATAAATAGACTACCCAATGTAACACAAACAGCAGAAGATAAACTAGATGACTGGAACCTTCTAAAAATTACATTTTTATGCACATAGAATACTTCTCTAAAAGAGTAAAAAGAGAAACTACAGAATAAGGAAAAATATTTGGCAATGACACATCCAACAAGGGACTTACTTGTAAAATTTATAGAAAACTTCAACACCTCAACATCAAAAAGAAAAACAATATAATTCAAAAATGGGCAAAGGACATGAACAGACCCTTCACCAAAGAAGATATTCAGGAAGCCAACAAACACACGGGAAAATGCTCGCAATCATGAGCCATTAGAGAGATGCAAATCAAAACAACAATGAGATACCATCTTACCCAGCATTTATAGCAAAATTCAACAGGACAGAAAACGACAAATGCTGGTGACATTGTGGAAAGACTGGAACTCTCATACACTGCTGGTGGGACTGTAAAATGGTACAGCCACTATGGAAAACAATATGGCGTGTTCTAAAGAAGTTGGAAAAAGAAGTACCATTTGATTCAGCAATCTCACTACTAGGACTATATTCTAAAGAAGTGAGATCCAGGACACAAATGAATATATCCACACCCATGTTCATTGAAGCACTATTCATAACAGCAAAAAGATGGACACAACCTAAGTGCCAATCAATAGCTGAATGGATAACAAAACTATAGTACATACATATACATAATGGAATACTATGCAATATTAAAGAATACTGAAGAATCCATGAATCACCTCCTAATGTAGATGAACTTGGAGGACATTATGGTTAGTGAAATAAGTCACATAAGGACAAATATTGTATGAGTCTGTTAAATTCTGGCTAGTTAAAAGACAGGCGTTCATTTGGGTGAAGGGAAAGGCAATACAAAAAAGCACGTGACCAGCACAATATCAGTGAGGAAAAGGAAGACACAGAGGTGAACAAGAGGTGCAGACGATAAAAGTAAATATTATTATATATACAATACTGTATTACATTAGATAGCAAACACTAATCTATGGGTGGATAAATAGGTAGACAGGCAAAATCAGCTATGGGTAGGTGAACAGGAATATCCCCATGACCATACATAGGTTTGGTAGATGATATTCCTACATATATATTTGTATGTGCTACAAAAATATCCATATGCATTATAGAGCTAACAGAGGACAAAGTTAGGATGACATCTTAGCCACAACTACACACCTTGCTGGGCCTGTGGGCCATGGCCACAGAGGACATGAAGCTCAACTGGCACACCATTGTATGTAAAGACATTGTTCTACATCCTACTTTGGTGAGTAGCGACTGGAGTCTTTAAAGCTTACAAGTGGCCATCTAAGGTACATCTATTGGTCTCTCCATGTCTGGAGCAAAGAAGAATGAAGAAAATAAAAGGCATACAAAAACAGTTAGTCCAAAGGATGAATGGACCATGGGAACCTCAGCCTACATCACCCTGAGACCAGAAGAACTAGATGATGCCCAGCTACCACTGCCAACCACACGGAAGAAGATCAGAATTGGAGATCCTGGATAGAGTGAGAAAAAAAATGAGGCACAAAATTCAAAAACATAAAAATGACCAGGATTACAGGTTGGATAAGCTCTAGTGAAACCACCAAGGTTATGGCCTCTAGTCACCCTTTGGACCTAGAATTGGACTCACTCCTTTAGCTTAACTCTCAGCCAAACAATATACAAGCCTACAAGCAGAACAACTACACCAGGGAGATGCATTCCTTAGAACAATCAACCCTGGAAGATCTGAAGGGCAGCATTTGCACAGGGAAAAATGTTGGGAGGTAGGAATGCATAGGCAAGGACACTGGAAAAGGGTAACCATAGGGAGGAAGTGAGAGAAGAGCTGTTACATTGTGGGGATTGTCATGAAACAAAATGTTTATGAACTGTTAAATGTAAAATGAATCTGCTTTGGGAAATTTTACCCAAATTATAATAAAAAGCTTTTTAAAAAAAAGGGAAGGGGGAGGATATATTTCCTCCTAATCCTTTTCTTATCATTCCCTTAAGAATTTTATATCACAATTGATTCCTTTTGATTTTGTCTAGTATAAGAATGCTAAAAATAAGTGATTTCTTCAATGTAAACATATGTTATATAATTTTATCATTCAGAAGGTTTATTTCATAGTAACCTCTTTTTCCTTCTCTCATATTCTTCCCTGCTTTAAAATTTTACAAAGGATTAAAGATTTTTTTTTTTAACTTTCTTTTCAGAATGGCTTCACTCCTTTATACATGGCTGCCCAAGAGAACCACATTGATGTTGTCAAATATTTGCTGGAAAATGGAGCTAATCAGAGCACTGCTACTGAGGTAAGGCTGTCATCCCTAAAGGCTTCAGTACTTTGATCTCAATGTCCATATTTTTATATCTAGTGCAAAGAATATCAATTATATTAGTGATGTTCATGTTGCTGTTGTACTCCACAGCAGCGGCCATGTATGAATTGCCCAGAATTGTGCATATAGAGTTTATGCCTTTATTTTTGGTTCACGTAAATTTACTTTCACATGAAATCATACTTCTATCAGTTTGGTATACTGAGAGGGGAAGAACCTCAATGAGTTGGATTGACACAGTGACTGCAACAGCAGACTCGAGGGTAGCAAAGATTGTGAAGATGGCACAGAGCCAGGCAGTGTTTCGTTCTTTTGTACATAGGATCGCTATGAGTTGAAGTCAACACCTAACAACAACAACAGCTTTGGGGAGATTTTTTTTTAATTCTAAAATTAAATAAAAGTAAATTCTCCCCATCTCTTTTCATCAATATTTTGTCCTTATGATCCAAAGCAATTCTTTAAAGGAACACTTTTTAATGATCAGAGTTATTTTGTGGGCATTCATAAAGAATTATTGCTAAAAAAACTGTCTATATTTTCTGAAGCCCAAATTTTGATACATGGCTATGTGACTGTGATTATGGCAACAACTGAATAGATTGTTCAAGATGCAGCTTCAAAAATTCAGGTCAGCTAGAGAAGGGGTTGGAGAGGGCAGGAATTTCTAAAGACAACATTGCTTTCTCATTCCTAAGCCGGTTCACCTATGAGGAGAATATGCTTTGTGTTTGCCTTCACAGTTTTGCTTAGCCAATTAAAGAACAAGTTTAATGATTGTCTAGAATGGTGGTTTTTTTTTTTTTTTTTTAGCGCTACTTCAGAAGCTTGTGTGCTTGGAGATGATACCTCAGGGTCATTGGAAAGTTGGGTTAGGAAGAGAGAAAGAGGACTCCCTTTGGATGTGCCTCTCCCCACCCCTTTCACCTATACCATGCAGTGTTGTGTTCCTTATTTCTTATTTTGTGGCTCCATTGATAGAACTGAAAAATTCCTGACCTAAATGAAAGATAACTGGTAGATACTTGTCACCTAGAAACCATATTGATAATTTTCAATGTTCAATATGACTTCTTTTCTGGAAAATTAAGACTTTAGGTAAAATAAATATTAACCCTCTTTCTATTCTGCATTTGGTGTGTGTGTTGGGGGGAGGGATCATAAACATCTATTAAACCCATTTACAGTCCCTTTGGGAGATAACTTCTTATGGAGCCAGTAATTGTAATAACTTTCTGACAGTCATTCTCACTAGTGGGGGATGTGGGGTGGAGGACAGCACCATTAATGAGACTATATTTCCTACTTCTGACTTGGAAACAAAACTTGTTCTCTATTCCGACTGCCCCCTATGACATGATTTCATGTTGTCTTTTTAGCACGTGCAAATTTTACACTCCTGCCACATGGGTACCCAGTTGCGGTTGAGTGTATTCTAATTTATAATGACCCTGTTGTTGTTGTTAAGGGCCGTCTAATAGGACCCAACTCATAGCGAGGAGGTATCATTACGTAACTAGATTGCCCAACTTTCCTTCCAAGGAGAGGCTGGTGGGTTTGAACTGCTACCAAAAAACCACTACACTACCAAAGCTCCTATAATGACTCTATAAGGCAGTAAAACTGCTTCACAGGATTTCCAAGGCTGTAAATCTTTATGGAAGCAGACTGCCAGGTCTTTCTTCTGCAATGTGGCTGGTGGGTTCAAACCACCGACCTTTCTGTTAGCAGCCAAGTGCTTAGCCACTGTGCCACCAGGGCTCCTTTCACAAGGGTACAATGTGATTTTTATGATTCGGAGTAGTGCCTAAGGCATTTGACTGCTAACCAGAAGGCTGGCAGTTCAAACCCACCAGTCACTCCTTAGAAGGAAGATTGGGCAATCTACTTGAATAGAGATACCGCCTTGGAAACCCAACTTGGGGTCACTATGAGTTGGATCTGACTTGGTGTCAGTGAGTTTAGTTTGAATACAGTCAGTGAGTAATGTGAATATCTTCAGGTAAAGCTTTAGCAACAGTAGGAGACTGTGTCTCTGCCTCATAACCAATGAGAAATTTACCCAAATAAGGAAATATATGTTCGTTTAATTTTATTTTCCTGAAGGCAGAACCTTTTACCAAAAAAAAAAAAAAAAAACCAGAAAACCTTTAAACTATAGAGTTCTGCTCACCATATAGACTCAATGTTTCTAGTGTGTGGTTTAAGAAAACACCCTGCTGGCATTCTCAGCTGTCTCATGGCTCCATGCATTGGCAGAGCCTTGCAGCATTTCAGTCTCCTTCCAGAAATGCCCTTTTGTGTTCATTGCATTGGTGGAAATCATGTTATACTGTGATTCCCCAGTAATTGAATACTTCTATCCATGTAGAAATGTGTCCTTTGAGATGAATTCTATGGGACATAGAATTATAGCTTATATACACATATCTGTTAATTGTCTCATTTTAAAAGATAATTTAAATATTCAAAACTATTTTTCTTAATTAGGTATTTATAAGCTTAGTTGATTAAACACCTACTCCCAGCCTCTGTGGTTACCAAGAAGCACAAGGCTGGGCAAATCTTTGCATTTCTGTTTCAGCCGATCACAGATCTCTGGGGCACAATGGTTAAGGCATTCAGCTGCTAACCAAAGGTCTGCAGTTGGAATTCACAAGCTGCCTTGCGGAAGAAAGATGAGGCAGTCTGCTTCCGTTAAGATTCACAGCCTTGGAAACCCTGTGGGGCTGTTCTAGTCTGTCCTGCAGGGTCACTGTGAGTTGGAATTGACTCAATGGCAGTGTGTTTTCAGTCTATCGTTCTGTAAAAAAAATCATATCTTTACATGGCTACATGGTTGATTGCTATTAAATATTTTATGTCTAGTCTCTAAATATCATATACAGCCTTGTGTGCACATGTGTGAATATGCCTGAAAAAGCACCTACCCTGAACTTGTTGGTAGCTTTAATTTGCTAACATCAATTACTAATTAAGACATCATGACCACCAAAAAATATCACATAGTTATAAGATAATTGAATATAGTAATGAAAGTCACATTTGAAAAGAAACATTTTAAGTTTAAAATTCTACATATTAAAACAATTAGCATTGGTAAATGAGGGAAAAATGAAGTTATTGAATTAAAACTTTTTTTTCCCCATACAAGTAGTTGAGGTACTTGAATGAATCATTCCAAATATTTAGCTCCTCCCATGGATTATAGATTAGTAGGCAATCCATCTAATGAGGGTTCAAAATTTAATTCTTTGAAGAGAATTTTCTGTCTCTCTTGTACCATTTTAATAATTCCCTTCTCTCTTCCTACTATTTCAGTATTACCAACCTTGAAACCTAAAATGTTTTAATGAGGTTCTGTCTTGTGAGTAAGTTCCTTGTCTCTAAGAAAAAAATAAAGTTCACAGTCTTTTGATATAAGCTATCCCAAGGTTGCAAGGGTAAAAAAATTAAATAGGTATCTGATAATGTGTTTGTATTTCCTTCTTCATGGAATATTTCATGTGTGCCAAACAAACCTGTAAATTTAGGCAAGTATTTTTCATCTTAGAATGCTACATTCTTTATTCTTCCATCCTGTTAAGTGATGTGTTTATTTAAAATTCAGTTCTTATTGTGGTAATGCATGCATGATGCAATATACTTAAGAGAAATGATTTTCCCACAAAAGTCTACAATTACCTTTTTAAACATTATCATTGAAAATATTGAGTAGTTAAGATTGTGGTAAATTGCCATTGTGTCTAGTCTGTAATCTTTATCTGTACCATTTTATTGGTGGCATACTGGTTAAAGCATTCAGCTGCTAACAAAAGGTTGGCAGTTTAAATCCACCCGATGCTCCATGGGAGAAAGAGACAGTCTGCTTCTGTGAAGATTTATAGCCTTGGAAAGCCTGTGGAACAATTCTACTCAGTCCAATGGAGTCACTATGAGTCAGAATTGATTCAATGGCTGCGGGCTTTTTTTTTTTTTTTTTTAAATTACCCTATATGAATGGGAGCTCTTGTAGTATAGTGTCTAAGGCACTTGACTGTTAACCAGAAGGCTGGTGGTTCAAACCCACCAGCCACTTCTCAGAAGGAAGGTTGGACAATCTACTTGGAAGGAAGGTTGGACAATCTACTTCTGTAGTGATACCACCTCAGAAACCCAAAGAGGGGTCGCTATGAGTTGGATCCGACTCGACGGCACATAACAACAACAACATATGAATGGAAACTTCTAGCCCTAAGACTTCTTTTCAAATTTTTGTGGACTAAGCAAAGTTTACACATGAATAGAGCATAGAATGTGTAATTTTTCCTCATTTTTCACCTTCCCAGGAAATGAATATATGCTTCTGGAGAGAAAATTTGGCCTTCCAAATTATTTAACATGGTTATCTATCCCTAAGACTTCACTAATATTGTGTGTTTTCTGCAATGTAGTTGTTTGTTAGCCATCTCTCTTTTTAAAATTGAAAAGCTGATTACCTACAACATGATCTTTTATTCTAAATAATTTAAATAATAGAAAATTAAATTAATAAGTGCAAATGTAATAAAGTAATCCAACTTGTCAGAGTTTTATATATCATATTGTGTTACAAAGTTCCAAAGTTGACTTGGTAATAAAGCATCCGATCCAGTTTTCACTTTTCACTAACCAATACAGGTTTTGTTGTTGTTGTTGTTGTTGTTTAGCAACTAGCATAGTTAATTATTTGTGCTATTTTCCTGTCTGGGTTGTCATATCTTTCCTCCCTCATCAGACTTGGCACCCATTCTTTCTATTCTTCCATTCTTTTTTTCATTTGCACAAGTGGGCATTCTACTTTCTATTTTACCATTGTAAACATACATTATTGAACAACATAAATTTATTGAGCATATCTATATATACTACATATAGATATGCTCAATAAATTATGTAGTATAGGAAGCTCTGGTAGCGTAGTGCCTAAGGCACTTGACTGTTAACCAGAAGGCTGGTGGTTCAAACCCACCAGCCACTCCTCGGAAGGAAGACAGGGCAATCTACTTCCATAATGATACTGCCTCAGAAACCCAAGGAGGGGTCGCTACGAGTTGGGTCCGACTCAAGGGCCCATAACAACAACTAGATATGTAGTATGCTTTGTTAGGGAGTGGAGATGTTTTTCAAAATGTGTAGAAGAAATTATGAACTGATAAACTAGTTCATACTATGATAAATGACTGATTATAATCCACTTTCACAGTAATGTTTAAACCTCTTGTTCCTCAATGTTAATCATTATTTTTTAAACTAGTAGTACCATTGGCTAGCATTGAATCCCAAGCATCTAGATGTAAATGGAAAATATTTTTCCTCTGCTTCTTTTTTTACCAGGATGGCTTTACTCCTCTAGCTGTGGCACTGCAGCAAGGACATAACCAGGCAGTCGCCATCCTCTTGGAGAATGACACTAAGGGGAAAGTGAGGCTACCAGCTCTGCATATTGCAGCGAGGAAAGATGACACCAAATCTGCCGCACTCTTGCTTCAGAATGATCACAATGCTGACGTACAATCTAAGGTAAAAGCTGAACCCATTTGTGGAAAGGAACTCTCCAGCTGCCAGATTCCTGCAGGGGAATGATAAAGAAGTAGGCCATGGTGATAATGCAGAGTTTCTTCTGGTCAAGAAAAGAGATAAATTACTATCAGAGGTATTTCAAAATGAAGGGAACTGTCTATTGGGTATAGTAACAACAATAAAAAAGATGTTAAATGTAAGACAGTTTTTCTTTAGGTTCAACATTTTAGAAATCTGTTTATTTATACTGTTAATAGTCATAAATAATAGACACAGAATCAGAAAGATACAGCCTTATTCTATAGTGTTATAGGATGTTTTTTCAGTAGAATATATTTTGGCATGTTGGAACAGTTGAAACCAATTGCAGTGAGCAGCTTAACTGTTTCCTTAATTTTTCATTGTGTAACGTCTTCCAATGTCTTCCCTCTTTTTCCACACAACATTGCTTCAGATGATGGTGAATAGGACAACCGAGGTACAGTATTGTGGTTAAACCAAGATATATATTAATTTTATCTTTTTTATTGCTTTTTTTAAAAAATTTTATTTCTCCAGTTATAGTAAATACTCACAAATTCATACTAATAATTGAAACTTTTTATTATTTGGAAACTTTCCCCATATTTAAGACAAATTGATAATTCAAAAAATATTTAAAGTAACATATTAAACACATTATTTAGTCAGTGAAACTAACTAGCTTACCTCAGTATACTATGAAACTCTTAGTTAATGCATATAAATGGGGCCCCATCAATGATTTACTATTAAATTTTTTGCCAAGAGGAGGTGTGATCTCATTTCTTAATGAGATTTCTCATGTTAGAGTTTTACAAACTGAAAATTAAGGCGTTTTCTCTTCCACTGTGTTTTATCTTCTTATCTAACAGTGGTTGTTCTTCCCCACCCCCACCCCTGCCCCATAAGCTTTTTTCTTTACCACATTCTGTATAATCAATAATGATATTGAGTATACCATAAGCAGAGCATTTCCTTTTTTTCTTGTTAAGTCTGAAAACGTCATGAAATCATCTCTTTTCCTCACACCAAAACACATCCATCAGCAAGGACATTAAGTCTAGAAGCCTCTCGGTGGTGGTGGTGTGTATGTGTCTAGGAATCTCCCCTTGAAAGACAGTAGCACAAACATTTTTGAAAGTATATTATGAAGATTAACCTATAGTCAAAGGCAAGTGACTATGTAGCTTGATTGTGGCTTTGTTGAGATTCTTTAAACTAGTATCTCATCTGGTTACTGAGTCATGGATTATGGGTATTTTGAGCATTTATGTTTAGTATTTAATGAGAGCAATGTGTTTCTAAGATAATTTCTTATTTTGATATATTTACCCATAGAGAGATGAAAATATTCAAATTATTTTTATTATCGTTTCTTCTGTTCCATATGCTTGCATGGAAGCTAGGTCAGAACTTAAGGAAATAATAATAATAATGGCCCAACTGCTTTGTGCAATTGTTTAAGACTGAACCATACAAACTAATTTCTTAATTATTGACTCTAACGCTTTTAATTTTTCACTTGCTTTTTGGTGATTGAGATAAATTCCTGAAAGCAATATTGACTATAAACATTGCGTTGAAAGCAGATGTTGCTACTAGGTCGACTCTGACTCATGGTGAATCCATGTGTGTCAAAGTAGAACTATGCCCCCTAGGGTTTTCAGGAGCTGAAGTTTCTGAAGTAGTTCACCAGGCCTTTCATCTGCAACCTTTTGGTTAGCAGTCTAGCATGTTGATTGTTTGTGTTACTCAGGGACTCCTTCAGACATAGTGGTACTAAGTTATTTTTCGGTGGTTAGTACTAAAATATTCCTTTACTGGCAATAGAGTAAGAAAGAGGGGGATCCCATCCTTCTGCAATCCTGAAAAAAGTTTAACTCTGCCTCCCACCTTCTTATAAACTGGGATGAGTTTCTCTGAATAGGCTGAAAGTAGCCTAGTGTTGATTTAAGAATCACATCCTGTGATTATCATCATGCATAGTCAATGAGATTGTGTTAGATAATAAATTAGTTTATTTTGACAAATGAGAAATATAATATTATCATATTTAAATAACTTGAAAATTATTTGCCAGCAATTTTTCTGAAATTAAATTGGAACTTGAATAATAGATACACATTTGGGATATTTCTATATGACAGGAAATATGAGGATAAAATGAGAAAAAAAAGTCAACTATTTCCTAAAATATAAAATTTGAATATTTTATAAAATAAAACCCACGTTGTAGATGGAGTTTCCCCTCCATTTTCAATGAAAATTTGGCATCATGTAGACATAAATTAAAAAATATCTTGACCAGAGTCCTTGGATTTAGTTTGATAGTTCAATTATTTTTATTTTCTATCCTTGCTTTTAGGTAATTAGTAATTATTTGCTGATAGCACAAAGGAATATCTCTTACCTAAACTGTTTTAATACTTATTTAGGGCAATTTTAAAACAAAATCCCCAAACTTATGTATCAAGTTAGTAGAAAAATAATGGTTGTGATTTAAAAGATATTGCTTTAAAAAATACTTGTGTACAGCAAAGTGAATTTCAAAGAAAATAATACAAAATAGCCTAAAAACTTCAGGATTTGATAGCCAATTAACAGTCTATATTATTTCTATAATTTTTAATTAAGTAATGAAAATTATGGAGGTCAAGGAAAATAACCACACAATAATGCCTTTCTGTACTTTAACTAGAAAAGAGTTAATATACTTCTATTGGGAAAATGGCAAAATTTCTAACTAAATTTTCATCAGAAAAAAAATATACTTTTCTTCAATTTTATATTTTCAGATTTTTTTTATCATCATGGAAATATTTATTGCAATTATTATTTTTTTTCAGACTTGTTTTTTAAAACACTCTGTGACCAAACAGTTCTTTAATGCTTAGCTAATTGATTTAACCTGACAGATTCACACACATTTTATTAATAAACTTTAGCTTAATTCCATAGCTGCAGAGTTGCATTCAGTTAATTTTTTCTGTTTTTATATTCTGAATCTGTATATATTGCTTAATTTTATACTTTTTTAAAATTAAAATGTATAGCCTGACTAAATACAGTTTATGGAAAAGGATAGAAAGATGACAATATAGATGATTTGAAGTGAAAGATTTACAATGAATTGTAAATCCCTTCTAAGAATTTTTCACAGTATTTTCATAGTTACAAAGATATGCCACCCAAAACTTTAAAAAATATACATATGACACTGGTTTTGACTCTTTCTCTGAGAAAAAAGGAGCTCTGGTGGCATAGTGCCTAAGGCACTTGACTGCTAACCAGAAGGCTGGCAGTTCAAACCCACCAGCCACTCCTCAGAAGGAAGGTTGGGCA